GGCAGGAGGATTGCTTGAGTCCAAGGGTTTCAGGCTGCAGTGAGCACCACTGCTCTCTAGCCCGGGCAACAGAGCAAGAGCAAGATCATATCTCAAAGAATTTTTTTAATTGAGTTTAATTTTCATAGAGCAAAGTACAGCAGCTTTAAATGTCCTCTTGATGAATTTTTTTTTTCTTTTTTTTTTTTTTTTGAGACAGAGTTTTGCTCTGTTGCCCAGGCTGGAGTGCAGTGGCATGATCTCTGCTCACTGCAACCTCTGCCTCCTGGGTTCAAGTGATTCTCCTGCTGCAGCTTCCAGAGTAACTGGCATTACAGGCCGCACCAGGACACCTGACTAATTTATGTATTTTTTAGTAGAGATGCGGTTTCACCTTGTTGGCCAGGCTGGTCTTGAACTCCTGACCTCCGACCTTGGCTTCCCAAAGTGATGGGATTACAGGTATGAGCCACTGCACCCAGCCAAGCTCAATGAATTTTAAAATATTAATGTGTGTGTATGTGTGTGTATATATATGTATGTGTGTGTATATATGTGTGTGCGTGTGTATATACGTATATTTAAAACCACATAACTACCACCAAATCAAGTTATAGAACATTTCCATCTCCCTAGGACATTTCTTCCTATTTTGACTTTGATCAACATATTACTATTATTATTCAGAGACACGGTCTACCTCTGTTGCTCTGGCTGGAGTGCGGTGTTGCAATCGCACACAATTCACTGCAGTCTGGAACTCCTGGGCTCAAGCAATTCTCCTATCTCGGTTTCCTGAGTAGCTAGGATCACAGGTGTGTGCCAACATGCCCAGCTAATCTTTAAAATTGGTTTGTTGAGGCAGGCGCAGTGGCTCACGCCTGTAATCCTAGCACTTTGGGAGGCTGAGGCAGGTGGATCACGAGGTCAGGAGTTTGAGACCAACCTGGCCAACATGGTGAAACCCCGCCTCTACTAAAGATACAAAAAAGTAGCCAGGCCTGGTGGCATGCACCTGTAGTCCCAGCTACTTGGGAAGCTGGGGCAGGAGAATCGCTTGAACTTGGGAAGCAGAGGTTGCAGTGAGCCAAGATCACGCCACTGCACTCCAACCGGGCAACAGGGCAACAGTCTGTCTCAAAAAATAAAAAAAATAGAAATTTGTTTTGTAGAAATGAGGTCTCACTGTGTTGCCCAGGCTGGTCTCAAACTTCTGGCCTGAAGCAATCCTCCTGCCTGGGCCTCCCAGATTGCTGGTATTACAGACATGAACCATGGCGCTTGGCTCTCGAATAACGTATATTCGTTTTACCTATTGTTGAACACCCTGTAAATGGGATCATGGCAAATATGCTCATTTGTGTCTGGCTTGTTTTGCTCCTTGTTATGTTTTGTGGGATTCATACATATTGTTGCTATTATGAACACTTTTTGTAGATGTGTTTTGGTGGATGTAAACTCACCTTTTGCAGGCGAGTGGAATTGCTGTGTCACTATGTAATTGTATGTTTCACTTTAGTACAAATTGTTAGTTTTCTTTTTTTTTTGGAGATGGAGTCTCGCTCTGTCACCGGGGCTGGAGTGAAGTGGTGTGATCTTGGCTTAGAGCAACCTGCGCCTCCTGGGTTTAGGCAACTGTTGTGCCTCAGATCCCCAAGAAGCTGGGACTACAGGCGTGCGCCACAAGGCCCAGCTAATTTTTTTTTTTTTTTTTTTTTTTTTTTTTTTTTTTTGAGACAGAGTCTCACTCTGTCGCCCAAGCTGGAGTGCACTGGCACCATCTCAGCTCACTGCAACCTCGGCCTCCTGGGTTCAAGCAATTCTCCTGCCTTAACCTCCTGAGTAGTGTGGATTACAGGCATGCACCACCATGCCTGGCTAATTTTTTATATTTTTAGTAGAGATGGGCGTTTCCTCATGTTAGCCAGGCTGGTCTTGAACTCCTGAGCTCACGCAATCCATCTACCTTGGCCCACCTTTTTGTATTTTTTTGTAGAGATGGGGTTTCACCATGTTGCTCAGGCTGGTCTCGATCTCCTGAGCTCAAGAGAGCCACCTGCTTCAGCCTCCTAAAGTGCTGGGATTACAGGCGTGAGCCACTGCACCCGGCCAAATTGTTAGTTTTCCAAAGTAGTTGAGCCAATTTATACATCTCCTAACAGAGTGTGCCTGTTCCCGTTAATCCACGTCTTTGTCTGCACTTGGAATTTTCAGTCTTTCTTTCCAGTCACTCTGGTGGGTGTATGATGGTATTTCACTGGAGTTTTATTTGCATTTCCCTGATGACTAATGATGTTGAGCATGTTTTCATGTGCTTGCTCAATAAATATTTGTTGAAAGGATGAATAAAGAGTGAATGAATACAACATGGAAAGAAATCCAACTCTGTCTTGTGCCCTGCCTAAAACCCACCAGTGGCTCCCACTGCCCCGCTCTTGGCCGACAGGTACCTGCCTGCCCTGGCTCCTTCTGACCTCTCCTGCTCCAGATGGATTTCTTTTGCTTCCTTCTCTGGGTTCCTGCCACCCAGGCTGTTTTCAGTTTCCTCCAAGGACCCTCCCTGCTTCATAACTTTGCTACAAACTCTCTTCTTCTGCCCAGAACACAACCCAGGCCCCAGGAACCCAGATTCATTCCTTGTATCTCAGTTTGAAAGCCTCTTCCTCCAGGAAGCCTTCTCTGACTTTCACCCTCAGCAGGGGTGGTGTAAATTGCTAACTTAGGCCCACTTTTGCCCACCTTTTTTGTGTTTGTTTCTGAGATGGAGTCACGCTTTGTCATCCAGGCTGGAGTGTAGTGGGGCCATCTCAGCTCACTGCAACCTCCACCTCCTGGGTTAAAGTGATTCTCCTGCCTCAGCCTCCTGAATAGCTGGGATTACAGGCACCCACCACAACACACAGCTAATTTTTGTATTTGTATTTTTATTATTTATTTATTTATTTTGAGACAGAGTCTTGCTTTGTCGCCCAGGCTGGAGTGCAGTGGCATGATCTTGGCTTACTGGAACCTCCGCCTCCAGGTTCAAGTGATTCTCCTGCCTCGGCCTCCCGAGTAGCTGAGATTGCAGTCGCCCACCACCACACCCAGCTAATTTTTGCGTTTTTAGTAGAGATGTGGTTTTACCATATTGGTCAGACTGGTCTTGAACTCCTGACCTTAAGTGATCTGTCTGCCTTGGCCTCCCAAAGTGCTGGGATTACAGACATGAACCACCATGCCTAGTCACCACTTTTTCTTTCTAGCTGTGACCATAGTTGTAAATATCTCCCCTCCCCTGGCCTTTTTTTTTTTTTTCTGAGACGGGATCTCGCTGTGTTACCCAGGCTGCAGTGCAACGGTGCGATCATAGCTCACTGCAGCCTTGAACTCCTGGGCCAAGTGAACCTCCCACGTCGGCTTCCCAAAGCACTGAGATTACATGAGGGAGTCACCGCTTCTGGCCTGTAAATACCCTTTCAAAAATATAGTATTTGATTAACACCTGCCATCTTACCATAAGAAACACTTAAAAAAATCGCAATTCAAAAAAATTCCAATCTTTTACGCTGTATAAGAGTAGCAATTTCGGCCAGGCGCGGCGGCTCACGCCTGTAATCCCAGCACTTTGGGAGGCCGAGGCGGGCGGATCACGAGGTCAGGAGATGGAGACCATCCTGGCTAACACAGTGAAACCTCGTCTCTACAAAAAATACAAGAAAAATTAGCCGGGCATGGTGGTGGGCGCCTGTATTCCCAGCTACTTGGGAAGCAGAGGCAGGAGAATGGCATGAACATGGGAGGTGGAGCTTGTAGTGAGCTGAGATGGCGCCACTGCATTCCAGCCTGGGCGACAGAGCAAGACTCCATCTCAAAAAAAAAAAAAAAAAAAAAAAAAGAGTCGCAATTTTATATTGTTCCTAGCAAGACATCTGGCATATAGTAGTAAATGCTCAATAAATATTTGTTGACAGTATAAAGGTCAAGCAACAGCACAATTGGCATTATTACATGAAAGTAATTATCCCTTAGAAACTCATTCACCCTTGGGGGACCTGGGTCAATAAAAAAATCACAGAAAACAATCCTATCTACCTTCCTCCTTCCCTCGCTAGGTCCTTTGTGGTTGGGGGGGGGTCTCAAATGCACACACACTTTGTTTTATTTGGTGCAGCTGTTGTGTGCATGTTTTATGGAAACCACACATCAGGCAGGAGATTAAGGAGGAGAGGAGAAAAGAAAGGCATCGCTGATATCACAGTGAAATTTACACTCCGAGGCCTCGCCCTAACTCCTCTGTCTCTGCCTGTCTGCCTATGCAACAGTTCAAAAGCAATATGGCACAATAGATGGTATTATAGACTTCCGACCTTCCTGGCTAGACTTCTTGGGTTCAAAGTTTGGCTTAATCACTTACAATCTAAATAATCCCTGACAATTTACTCTGTCTTTCTGGGTCTTAGTCTCCTCATCTGCAAAATGGGGATAATACTACCTCTTACCTGATGGGGTTGTGAGGATTGCACAGTTAATTTGTGTAAATTGCTAAGAACATAGCCTTAGGAAGCCTTGTCATTGTGAATGCCTATTAATTATTATTATTATTTTTTATTATTTTTTGAGACAGAGTCTTGCTCTGTTGCCCTGGCTGGAGTGAAGTGGCGCCATCTCAGCTCATTTCAACCTCCACTTCCCAGGTTCAAGCGATTCTCTTGCTTCAGTTTCTCCAGTAGCTGGGACTACAGGTACCTGCCACCATACCTGGCTAATTTTGTATTTTTAGTAGAGACAGGGTTTTGCTATGTTGGCTAGGCTGGTCTTGAACTCCTGACCTCATGTGATCGGCCCACCTCAGCTTCCCAAAGTGCTAGGATTACAAGCATGAGCCACCATGCCTGGCCTATGATTATTTTGTCTTCAGGCTTTAGTTTCCTTACCTCTGAGGTGAGGGTCAATAACCCAGTTATTTCTAAGTGATGCTTAAAGAGGTTGAGAAGAAGCAAAGGCGCTCTGCACACAGGTGAGGTCGACAGCTGTTGGTGATGGAGACTGACGCCCTCTGGGTCATCAGTGCTCTGGAATCGGGCTGCTCATGGGTTTGAATCTCACTTCCACTTTCACTCCTTGCTAACTGTGTGACCTCAGGCAAGTCACTTCGCCTCTCTGAACCTCAGTTTCCCCATCTGTAAAAGGCAGGTGAATAAGAGTATCCACCTCCTTCTGTGTGAGTCAGTTTTGGACCGGGTTCAAATCCCAGCCCTGCAAACGATTAGCCAGGTGACCCTGGGCAGGGGGAATCACTCAACCTCTCTGCACCTGGGTTTCTTCCTGCATGAAAGTGGAGATAGTACAGAATGAAATGAGGGCGCAGCTAAGGCACCCAGCACACTCCAGGCAGGTAGGGGGCTCCGTTCACGTTATTTTCCCCTGGTTACGGATACTGTCGTTAAACAGGATTTGAAAAGTGGTCGCAGGCTGTGTGGCCCCAAAGATCCTAGGCGCTTCCGGAAGACGAGCCAACGCTCCCCGAGCCAGTCCGCAAGCGAGTGGGCCTGGGCCTCGGAGGATCCGGGGTAGGGGTGGCGCGGCGTCCAGGCCCTGGGCGCCGAGAGGTGGCGGGTCCGGCTGCCCACGCCGAGACGCGCGAGGTGAGCCGGGCGCCGGGGCGGGGCGGGGCGGGGCGGGGCGGGGTGGGGCGGGGCCGCCGCATCCCCGTGACGCGCGGGCCAACCAGGCGGCGTTGCGGCCCCGGACCCGGCTCCTTGCGCCGCCGCCGCCGCCTCCGCAGCCAAAGCCAGCAGCCGGGCCGGATTACCCACCGTCCAGTGCACGCCGCCGCCCGCGCCAGCAGCCGGGCCGCATCACCCGCCGCCCGGTGCCCGCCGCCGCCCTCGCCGCCCGCATGGCGCTCCGGGGCTTCTGCAGCGCAGATGGCTCCGACCCGCTCTGGGTACGTGCGGGGGGCCTCATGGGGCCGGCGGGACGGACGGAGGGAGGGAGGGAGGCCGGCGGGGACGGAAAGCACCGGGCCCACAGCCGCCCGGGGCACCCCGCTCCCTGCTCTGCGTCCGGCCTTTGGGGCCCGGGACTCCCACGTCGCCAGCGGCCCAGCCCCTTTCGGGGGTGCAAGGCGTGGAGGAAAACTTGGGTGACTCAGTTCCTGCGGAGCAGAGCGTGGGGGGCCGCGTGCCCAGTCCTGGGGTTTTGGAGGGGAGGGTCGGGCCAGAACCTCTGGGAGGAGGCCTTCCTGTTTTGGGGTTCCCGCCTCTAATTAAAAAAAACCTTCCAGGGAAGGGACGCTAGAGATGGGGAGCGGGAAGGGGGTGTCTCTCTGCTTCTGTTTTCCCATCTTTTTTGTGGTTAGGGTCCCCCCTTTTCACGAAAAATAGTCTATGACCAATGGGGTGAGCTGGGGAGGGGTTTAGATTGTAGAAAGGGACTTTCATTGTCTCCCCGAAGTTGTCGTACAAGCCACATTACTCTTCTGTGGTTACCTAGCTTTGTCTTTTTTGTTCTTTCTGCTTAAATAGTGCGGGGGAAGTTTGGGGGAACCAGGGAAGAAGGGGGGTGTTTACCCTTGACGTGCCCCACCTGACCCTCGGCTCGAGTCACATTTGGGGTGCAGCTGAGGACGCCCAGGACCCTGGTAGCTGTGGTGCTGCCCTCCCTTCCCTGCAACACGTGGAGCTCCTCTCTGGGGATTTAATCCTGGCAAATTTTCTTCGGTAACGTGGCCTGCGGAGCCTGACAGGGTTGGAGTCCACTTTCTGTGGTTTAAGCCTCAGTCTTTTGGGCTTCAGCTTCTCCGTAATGCGATTTGCCTTTTTGTTCCAGGAACGCACTTCTGTTTCGTGCTGTCTTGATTATTGGTGAACGCAGTAGGCAAATCTGGACACGACTGTTTCTCTCCTCTTTTGTTTAGGAATTAGGAGAAACAGCCTTGCTTCTTAGGAGCTGGTGATTAGCATCCGAAAATACTTTCTTGTCCTGTTTTGGGGGCCTTTCCTTGAAGGCTGCATTTGGAATGTTGAAAAATCATCCTCCAGGGCCCCATTGGAGGGTTTGGTTTTGTTTATTTTTTTAGTAGGGTATCATTATGTTTAATAACCTACCACATTTTGATATGTCTCCCATTTTAAGCCAGTTGGGGTTGGAGAGTGACCCCAGGGGTGGAAATAGAACACGGACTTCGCCTTCAGGGTCTGGGAGTGATTGGAGCCTCTTTGCAAATGAACTTTTTTTTTTTTTTTAATCAGGAAGAGGAAAACCCGTGGATCCCTTGTTACCAGGTGTAATAACAGCAAGATTATTTTTTGCAAAGATTCACATGGTGATCTGGGTTCGGGTTGCTGTGAATTCCGGAATATTCTCTTGTTTATTTTCTTCTCCTGCATTGAGGAGGGGGCAAAACAGGGTGAACATCCATGAGGTTTTGTATCAGGACATATTTTATTGATGGCAACTGGTAGTTGATGGCTAATGAGTATGTTTGGGGTGTGCTTTGTTTATCTTAAACTGATTCACGAAGTCCAGTTGTAATGTTTTTAAAAATTTTAATTAATTGTCTTCCTCCGTTAAGGACTTTTTTGCCACAGAAATTGTCAGGTGGCTGGGTTTCGCTTGGGTGTAATTGTAGCTGATTTCTGCCCCTGGTAGGTACCCCATCTGGTGTTTGACCTTGCATATTTCTGCTGTCTGGATTCCAAGACTTGCTGGAGGTGCCCTGGAACCAGAATTTGAGAGGAGGCAGCTGGGGCGTGAGTGGGAAAATTAAAATATAATTAACTGAAAGGTAGAAAGTAGGTAGTTGTTGCGTTTTTCTTTTTCAGGACATCGTCTCACTCTGTCACCCAGGCTGGAGTGCAGTGGTGTGATCTCAGCTCACTGCAATCTCTGCCTCCCCTGCTCAAGTGATCCTCCTAACTCAGCCTCCCAAGTACCTGGGACTATAGGCATGTGCCACCACACCCAGCTAATTTTGTAATTTTTGTAGAGACAGGGTCGCACTATATTGCCCAGGCTGGTCTCATACTCCTGGGCTCAAGCGATCCTCCTGCCTCAGCCTCCAAAAGTGTTGAGATTATAGGCATGAGCCACTGTGCCCGGCTGTTTTTGTGTTTTTCAAGGCAGCGTGTTCAAGGCCAGGAGCGACTGGCCTCCCAGGCAGTCAGATCACTGTGTGACCTTGAGCAAGCCACTTTCCCTCTGTGTGCCTCACTTTCTTCATCTATAAAATGGGACAGGAGCCAAAAATATGGCAGCCTTCTAGGGTTGTTGTGAAGAGTCAATGAGTTAATCTTGTAAGTGGCTCAGCTTGTGCCCTGCACAGAGATAAGCAATGGCTAGTGTTAAATATTATTTTTTCCAAAGATGAAGTTGTGTGTTTCAAGCTCCTTGTTCTTCCTTTGGATTCCCCATTTCTTCAGCTCGTGGAGATGGGATTGGGCTATGGAAAGGCAGTGAGGCACTCGTGCCCGACTCCTGTTGTGACCAAGGTCATGTGCTTAGAAGTCAAGGTTAGTGGGCCTCGTGTGACTCTGTCAGCGCTTTGTTCCTGGGCCACTGTCTGCCTCTGAGCCACAGGAAATGTCCAGAAAACTCAGAAGATGGAAATGGCCCATGATAAGGGTTCTGTTGACCATTACTCAGACAGATGTTCTGGGAAGAAAAAAGGAGAACTTTGCTATCAAAATGGAAAATAGGGCCTGAGGACAGGGCACAGCGGCACTTGACTTTCTTTTCTCACGGGGGTGGGTCTCTGGAGATGGGGGTGGGACTGGTAGGAGGGGCTGCTTTGTGGTTGAGGTTGGAATGATGGTTGGAAATATGGGCCTGGGCTTTTTCGTGAGTTCATTTAAAAAAAAAAAAAAAAAAACAAAAAGCAGGCTGGGCGCAGTGGCTCACACCTGTAATCCCAGCACTTTGGGAGGCTGAAGCGGGAGGATCACTTGAGGTCAGGAGCTCAAGACCAGCCTGGGCGACATGGATTGACCCCGTCTCTACTAATAATACTAAATTTACAAAAAAAAAAAAAAAAAGCCAGGCATGGTGGTGTGGCACCTGTGGTCGCAGCTACCAGGGAGACTGAGGCAGGAGAATCAGTTGAAGGCTGTGGGGGTGGAGGTTGCAATGAGCTGAGATCACTGTCACTGCACTCCAGTCTGGGCCACAGACTGAGACCCTGTCTCATAAAAAAGGGCCAGGTGTAGTGGCTCATGCCTGTAATCCCAGCACTTTGTGAGGCCAAGGCAGGCAGATCACCTGAGGTCAGGGGTTTGAGACCAGCCTAACCAACATGGCGAGACCCCCATCTCTACTAAATATTAGCTGGGCATAGTGACTCATGCCTGTGATTCCAGCTATTTGGGAGGCTGAGGCAGGAGAATTGCTTGAACCTGGGGAGAGATTGCAGCGCGGTGAGATCGCTCCAGCCTGGGCGACAGAGAAACTGTCTCAAAAGAAAAAAGATTGTGTTTCAGGCCCCGTGTAGAAAAATTGGAAATTATGGAAAAGCAGAGAAAATAACTTGGTGTTAAGCAGTATCGTGTGGTGGCTCAGAGCAAATTCGGCTCTGCTGCTGAGGCAGTTTACTTCTCTCTGTGCCTCAGTTTCCCTATGTGGGATAACATAGTAGGTAGTGAATAGCGGTGACTTGAGGAATAAGTGAGTGAATCCTTAGCGAGGACTTAAAATGTTGCTGCTTGGCAACAGTGCTCAGTAAAGATCAGTGGTCGTCACCACTTGGAATTCTCCAGTTAATTTTTGCTGTTGCACCGACTGCCACTGGAGAAGACCAGAAGGAGGCTGCAGGTGTGTGTCACCCTCGATGGAGTGAGCTGGTCCCAGGGTTGATGTGCACGTCTGAGATACTCTGTGGCATCCACCAACTCAGTAAACCCCTGAATATCTGACTTAGCTGCCAAGAAGAGTATCTTAGAAGCTATTAGAAATTCCTCTTGGGGCTAGGTCTGGCCTTGGAGTCAGTCTGATCCCTGCTTTAATTCCTCCCCTTGGCTCAACAACAGTCTATGAAGAGCCAATTTTTCCCCCTCCTCCAAATGTGGCTTTGGTTTTCAAATCCATCCCTTAGCCTTCTCCCACTTCCTTTCCTCTGTTTTCCCCTCCCCACTGCCCCCCACCTTTTTTTTTGAGATGGTGTCTTGCTCTGTCATCCAGGCTAGAATGCAGTGGTGTGATCTCCGTTCACCACAACCTTTGCCTCCTGCGTTCACGTGATTCCCCTGCCTCAGGCTCCCGAGTAGCTGGGATTACAGGTGCCCACCACCACGCCTGGCTAATTTTTGTATTTTTTACAAAATACAAAACGAGGTTTTGCCATGTTGGCCAGGCTGTTCTCGAACTCTTGACCTCAAGTGGTCCAGCTGCCTCAGCCTCCCAAAGTGTTGGGATTATAGGCGTGAGCCACCGTGCTCAGCTTGTTTTCCCCCTTTTTGACTGCTCCTCCTTCCAGACCCTTCCTTATGGATTGTTAGAGTGGAAAGGGATGTCACATCTGAGGGGGCCATCCCCTCCACCCACCCCATTTCATGGATGTGGACACTGAGGTCCAGGATGGTGATATGACAGGGTGCAAGGTGGCAAGGTGTGAATGGCTTTGGGAGGAGATGAGGGTGACCCAGGAGAGGCCTGGGCAGGAGTGAACTCAGGGTTCCTGGTCCAAATGGATTCGTGATTCAGGCCAATCAGGGGCGGATTCAGGGTTCCTTGGCCAAATGGAGCCACCGCAGCCCCTAGGGGCCTTGCAGAAGGCGGCTACAGCCTGTCCATTTGGCCAAGACTCTCCTGAAGGGTTGTGTTCTCTTTCTCTGAGGACAAGCTCTGTTTGTGATAGCCTGGAGGAGGTGCCTTGCCTTTGGGACCTGGTGGTGGATGTGGGGCGGGGGGGGAACCTTTTCTGTTTGTGGACACAACTTCTAGGAACTGATCTTT